ACCGAGGTATTTTGAAACGCTTGTGATTTGGGAGCCGACGTTCTGGCTCGGCCTCACCAATACGAGGGAGGCTCACGCGTGCCTTGTTTCGCCACTCATCAAATCGCCCGCTGCGGTAGGTCGCAGGCAGCTTTGTACCGCTTTCGGTTTTGACCATCTTGACGTTATCAGCGCCGTGCCGTCGCCACGAACAAAATTCTTCTTTTTCTTACTCCACGTCATTTTCGAACGGGCGCGCTTTTGTGCAGCCACTCCCTCATCCCCTGCGAGATCAAAAGTTGCATGTTTCGCCTGCTCGGCAAATGTTTCCCCATCACGCATGGAATACCTGAATTAAATGAGCCCGACATTCGTATTTTCGGAGTTGGACGCACCCCTTTTCGGCCTTTGCCCCAGCCTGATAGTAAGACATGTAGAAGTCGGAGTCACGGTACTTTCCCTTCGAAAGTTTTGATGGCGGTGCTCCAAAAACAGCCTAATGAGGCGATCACGACGACGACGACAATGACATGAAACAGGTGTCAAACGCACGTCAATGTCCTCCTCGTCTGCCATGTCTACATCTTGTGCTCCAGGCGTGTCATCCTCATTCTTGGATCCACTGGCACCGCCTCCGTCTCCGCGGGATATCCTGACGGTATCCATTCGCTCTATCGCCCTCGAAAGTGCCTTTCGCCTTTCCTTCATGAGATCCGCGTTCCCGTTCTTCCCGCGTGAGCCGATCTCGAGCGCAGTCTCGGCAGGGCGGAACGAGTCGACGGCTGCGAGCAACACGCGACGACGTTCATCGTCAACTGCAAAATGTTCGCCCACGACTCCACCTTTCAGACGTAGCACCGGATGCACGCCGCCACGTGACCGGCAGCAACGAGACCCCACCGTGCAGGCTCTCGCGACATCTCTTTTGCACGCTATAGGTCGCGGGACTAGCGCGTCCACGTGACCGCTCGTACATCCCTTGTGCTTTGCGCATGACCTCACGCAACGTGGGCAATGCGTGTTGTTCGGCATCCAGCGCGCGAATGTAAGCAACTTCGTCGTCAAGGGTTTCCCGCGGAAGCGCCCCGAGCACGAGGCTTTCGGTGTACGATGCATCGTCATCGTTCGGCACGTCACGAATAAGCGGACGACCGAGGAAAAGTTGCAATTCGATGAGATAAGGGAGTTCGGTTGGGCCGACAAACGACCACGCCCAGCCGGGGCGCCCCGCACGCGCTGTGCGTCCCACTCGATGCACAAACACACGCGCACCTTGCGGGAAGTCATAGTTGATTACGTTGGCCAAGATTGGGATATCGATTCCTCGTGCAGCGACGTCAGTCACAACGAGTATGTTTGCGCGACCGCGTCGGAACTGGTCCATCTGTCGTGTACGTGCTGCTTGATCGAGTGAGCCGTATATGTGGGAGACAGTGTAACCGGCGGCCGTGAGGAGTGTGGTGAGGTACTCGACGTGATGTTTGGTGGCGGCGAACACAAGGGTCTGGTGAGGTGCGGTAAAGTGTTCGTGTGCGTTGTGGCTACTTCCTGCCGCGCCACCTTGTCCCTGATTCTCCGATCCGTCTGCGCCTGGCGGCACACGAATGATGTCACGAAGTAGTACTAACAGGCAAGCGTCCTTCTCGTCCTGCTTGACGGAGAAGAACGCCATTCGGAGGTCCGTGCTAATTTTACTTTCTGCATCGAGACGTAAGAGTTTCGGGTCCTGGAGGCCAGCCTTGGCGAATTCCACGAGTGACTTGGGCAGCGTCGCTGAGAATAGGAGGGTCTGACGAGTTGCAGGAGGCGGTGGATGATCTCTGTGAGGGCCGTTTCGAAACCCATTTCAAAAAGGCGATCCGCCTCGTCGAATACAACATAGTGCACGGAGCGGAAGTCGAGGTTCATTTCTACCGCAAGGTGGAGGAGTCGACCGGGGGTGGCGATAATTCTGTCCAAGGGCAACGAACCATCAGATCGGGAGCGCGTGTAAGGGAGGAGGCGACCAACACATCGGGATTGCTCGAAATCATCTCAAACTGCTCGTCCATGCCCTCGCCTCCGACAACCAAGCCCCATCGCAGACCTTGACTGCGCTTCCCGCTTTCGAGGTCGTCCCCAGCCTTGTCGCCGCATGCCCACCTTCGCCGTCACGCCAACCACGTGCGAGCTCCTTCCCAACCTTCAAGATTTGCAGGGCGAGTTCCCGAGTGGGTAGCAGGATGAGGGCTCTCGCCCCAAAGTGGAAGAATGTCGTCCACCCAAGCGCTGAATGAGGGGAATGAGGAAGGCAAGGCTTTTGCCTGACCCTGTCCGCGCCATTCCGACCAAATCACAAGGAGGGTTGGAAAGAAGAACGGGGATGGACAATCTTTGGATAGGTGTGGGTGTGCGAAAACCTTGTAGTAGCAGAGAACGTAAAATCCAAGGAAAAAGCCCTGCAAGACGATGATTTGTTGAATTCACACACACAAAATTGATAGAGACAGAATCATCATACCCATGCTCTGAAAACTTCCCCCTCCCACTTCGCCTTTCGTTATTTTTTTCTTGCCCTTCGTATTCTTCAAAAGTTCAGTGCCGTCCTTGGTGTTGCGCCTAGATATCGAGTTCTTTATCATATCTTCGAACTCCGTGTCGTCATCCGTTTCGCTTTCACGGGGGGCAAGAGGCATTTTGCCTTTCCGTGAAGCCGGTTTCCGCTGCGTCAAGGCAGACGAAATGTCAAACGAACCCGAGGCCTCCTCATCTGATTGAGAGAATGAATCTGACGCCTCCATATCGTGGTCGCCCACAGTGAAAGCTATGCGACGGCTTTTTGACACTCCGGTTGCCGTACTTCGCCTTGGCCAGACTGGCCTGGACACTGTGTACTGCTCGAAGTTTAACCCGTCTAGAGTTGACAATGGAAATCGAAGTCGAAAGAAGAAAAAAATAATCCAAATAACACTATTCTAACCCTTACAACACTAAGTTATTTTTTTGCAATGGAACCTGGACCTTTTACAGATTGGGCTCTAGCTCAGCACAGGCACGTCGATTTTCTTGATCATTTGACAATTATAAAGCGCTACATGTAAGCTTGTAGATGGTGTGCACGATCACATATTTTGTGCAAGTTAAAGGATCTAAATTTTTTTATTGAATACTGTGAGCCCCAAAATGCACACACTTTCGGCCCGCAGAACAACCGGTTTAATACCCTTGACCATCAAGACCTCGATAGGAGTGGAGGCGGGGAAGGGGCTCGATCTCAAGTGCTTTATTACTGCATAAAGGACTATCTTCAGGCCAAGGGTGTTCCTACTATCTCATGGAACATAGCATTGAAAAGAACACTGTCATGGGGATCGTTGTAGGGACACGAGGCGAATGTATTAAGAATGAATGTTTATCATTTATGATCAGGGGAAAGCGGGGGGCACGTTCACGCAGTGCATAATAATACCCTCGAAATTGCTAGCAGTCTTCTCTGCCGTAAGAACGTACTGCACATGTTGGTGTAACTAGAGGACATGAGGCCTATGACCAGTGTGGGGTTTACTAAACACGCTTCCTTGCTCCAATACTTGATACATGGGCGCTGATTATTTATACAGAGCTACAATACAAACTCGTGGGGTATATAGGAGTTCCGTCCGCGCCTTCAGGACCGTTTTGAGACGACCCGAGGAATGCCTGTGCCGCGTGCCGAGGAGGATACAGACGACGACGGTTTTGCGATCTTTGAAGGGCCAGGGACCGTCCCGCTCGGTGCCTTCGTATGGTTGTCATAGTCGTCGACGAGACGGATGCTGCAAGGCAAGAAAGTGGTTTCCGGATGTCAGTTACACGACCACACAAGACAGAAAGCAACTAAAATGGTGGCGTACATGCCCTCGAAACCCCCCTCGTTGTGGTACCCGCTGCACGCATGGATGCCCGTGTCCACGGACGCCCCGCACTCCTCTCGTGCTCCTACCAGGAAGCCTATCTCTCCTTTCGCGCTCGAGGCGCTCGGCCTCGTCACGCATCTCACGTTCGAGCTCCTCCTTCTCTCTCCGTTCTTGCTCCCGCTGCGCAGCGCGCAAACGCTCCTCTTCCTCGCGACGCCGCTTCTCTTCCCGTGCGCGTTCCTCCTCCTCGAGCTGCGCCTCGTCCTGTGAATCGCAACCACATTCACCACGTGATCTCGTCGAGAGGAACATAGTACATACCGCTTCAGCGCCCATCCATCGCTCGTCGAATATAAGCCGCGTGGCCTGCTCAGACTTGGATAAAATGTTGATGTACTTGTTCAGCAGCGCATCGGTCTGCTCGAGCTGCTGAGCGATTCGCTAGCACCAGTAGAGAAAAAATAAGATACAAGGGATGTGTGAGGACATGCAAAAGGAACACGACACGAACACTCACCTCGGATCCAATCTGCGTCTCTCGAAGCGCGCTATTGTATCCCGCAAACGCAGTGTTTATCTGTCGAAGCACAAAAAGATCACTTTGCAGCTTCTCCTCGCGCGATTGCGCCGCCAGCCGTGTCCTATCCGCGTCTTCATCGGCTGCTCGTACAGTAACATCAGCAGCCGCGGAACTGTCCTCATCATCGTCAATATCCCCTTCCCGTCCTCGCTCAATCCTTTCCTCTCCTTCCCACGCTTCTTCTTCCAGCGCGTCCAAAGTACCGCTCCGGTCATCCGACCGATCTAACGATGCGGCAAATCCGAGAGCCTGAGCAATCGACGGCCGTGTTTTTTGGTCATGGCGAGCCTGGGAGCGTCTCTCGGGAAGGGGGTTATCGGGGTACAGTTCAGAGAGTGAGAGATCGGCTCCTCGAGGGCCTGTGTGTGTATTAGAGCTAGCAGAGTTCAATGAAAATTGGGGAGATTCAGAAAGGAGAGGCGAGCCACCGGAAGGAAGAATCGTTGAATCAAAGGTGTCCATCGCGATCGCGACTATCCCGTGCCGTGCCGAAGTCCAACTAAAAATCGCGGTCCGTGGCTCCTTGAACCTCAATTAACTGGCAGTTAAAATAGAGGGTGGTGATAGGTACTATAGTGTAGCGGTTATCACAGCGGATTCTGATGTCACCATCTTCCGTTAACCCAGGTTCGAGTCCTGGTAGTACCTTTTTTTTTCTGCTCTTTTAAAGCTTGCGTGACTCAACCCACTGACCTAACTTCCATCCAGAGAGTTATACCATTTAAGCTCAAATGTCGCCCCCGCATGGGAAATAGACAGTCATGTCTACGAATTTTCGGCATGGGGCGCTGGTAGCATGCAAGGCCTGTGGGCCCAAGCGCGATGCTTGATCGCAAACAGTTGGACAATAGTAGCCCCGTCTCGCAGTTCTCGCTACGACACCTTTTTCCGTTTTGGTTTGGATTCCGACTTGGCCTCTAACTTGGCCTCCGCCTTGTCCCCTTTCCGTTTACGCTTCTTCTCCTCCTTCTCGCGCATCTTCTCCTTCTTCTCGGGCGTCTCCTTCCCTTTCTTTGCTTTCCGCGCGGCACCATGATCATTTTCCAAACTTAATCGTGCGGGTACATCCTCGTCGTCCTCGCCATCATCACCCGCTTCGGATTCGGCCGGGTCCAGAACTGGATAAGGTGGTGGGGGTGGTGACTGAGGGCTTAGTGCGCGATCTGGTTTGGTCTGTTGCTGCGGGACGTGCTCGGGGGAGAAAGGGTCAGGCTGTATAGAGCCGATCAAGGAGAGCATCTGATTCGCGACTGTTAGCCTGTGCGAATTATCACGACCAAAATTTTGAGAAATGCGACGGCCTCATATTCATGATGGAAAGAATACAAGGCGCACCCTACGACGGTAAACTGCAACCAGCGGTCTTTTCCACCGAGACGATCGCCGGTGACTTTGTGCACCCATCTCCCACGCTGGTCAGTGGTAGTAGCTTGTGCATCGTCGTCGTCGTCTCCTTGTGAGGCATCAACTGCATCCTCCTCATCTGCGTTGCCAAATTCAGGGTCATTCTCTGCCGGACCGTACTCAAACTCCCACTGATCCGTGGGGATGTGGTGCCGCGGAATGGACACGTTGAAAGTGCGGTGGACGAGTAACGATACGTGATCGGGTGAACAGAGGGTGACCCTCCCCGCTAATTTAATTGTTCACTTTTGTCAGTAATATATGGAAGAGAGCGTACAAAGATTAAGTTCTTTGGAGGGGGCATACGCACTGAGTTTCATGCCGCGGAGGGGACTCCAAATCAGCGCCTCAAATCCCACATGGCAAATTGCGAATGGGCTATCTGCCTGGAGCCGCGCGACACGGTCGAGGAAGTGCACGTCTGAGTGTGCGAGCACAACACCGTTCAGTGAGGGCTCGTACCTATGACGTGCCAAAAAAAATAACAACGCGATGGGAAAGGGGTAGCGTCAGTACAGAAAGCGCAAGAGTGGGGTGAGCTTACCTCATGATCATGGTGTCGAGCATCTCCTCTACACCGTCACGCAACCGGTTTGCAAATACGGGAGGGACGGCGAGTACGATTGACGCCTTGACGGAACGAAATTCGCCGTCGTGTTTCTCCTTCCGTGACTTTTTGGATGGGCCATCTACGTCCATGGGCACCGGTGAGCTTTTTCGTTTATTTTGGAGAATCATCTGGGGGTGGGTCAATACACCGACGCGACGCATATCCGGGCCGTCGCCATCATCTCTCCCAGCCACGTGGCTCTGGCAACGCCTGGAGAAGTTTGGCGCTCGTTTGTTCTGGCTCCGTTCTCCGCCCGTCCATCAACGTATCAACTCCCAACCCCGACCCGTCCGACGTGCAATAGTATGGTATGTGCCACGGTTTTGATCGTTATGAGATAGATGAAATGGCACCCAACAAATTTTCTTCCCCACCCAGTCGGCTCCAAAAATCATCATTCAAATCCTCATCACGGGGACACAAATATTTGGCAAGGCTCTACTGGAGGCCGCTCGTCAGGCGGCGAAAAGTGCGTCCGACTGTGACCCTGTGATTTCTCAGTTTGAGGCAACTTGGCGACTTTTTTTTTCTTCCTCTTTCACGCAGATGCAAAACACCGACCGCAAGGCGTGATTGGCTCGGATGTCGCGGGGGTCGGAAATGCCACGACGGGTTCTGTGACAGACAAGCTAACGCGGGAGCATCGGATGACACTGGACGAAGCGCATCTCATTCTAAACACGAAACGGGAGGATGGTATGGAGCGGATCCTACAGGTGCGTGTGTCCGTTTTGTTTGTTCACCGATCTTTTTGTTGACGGGTGGCACTCCGGTTCTTCTTGTTTCCGATCAGAACTATGAGCACCTATTCAAGGCGAACGCGCCGCCAGAGATACCACCACCAATGCCAGCACCGGGTGCGCGGGGCCAGCCAGGGCCTCGGCATTCACATTACGTGCAGTCAAAGGTGGTACGGGCGCGTGAACGGATAGAGGCTGAAATGAATATTTCAGCTGAGGAACCACCACCTCCAACGTCAGAGCCGACTGCGGGTACGAGTTGAAGGGTGTCATATAGAATCTCAACCAATCACCATTCATTCAATATATTAATGTGGCAGGGATAAATATCGGGGGTATACGTGGTGTTAAATTGCGATAATATAAAAATAATAAATAAAAAGAATTGGGCTAGGGATGTCGAATTGACTGGCTGAGCTGAGGGTTCGAGTCAAAGTTAATAGCCAGGGACGACCCGTCCCGTTCTACGACGGCGACGTCTATTGATCTCGACGATCACAATCCTACTTGGGTCTGCGACCGCGAATCAATTTACCCTTCGCTCAACTTGTTTCTTTCCTTCGCTTTCGGTATTTTAGGTCTCATGCTAGCAACCTCCACCATCACCACCCCTCGATGGTCCTTCACTCTCCTCAACACCCGCATAGAGTTCAGGTCCATGTTCATTGCTACTCTTTTTCTTTTTCTCTTCCTGTTTCTCGGTCAGTATCCCCCTTTACCATCTTTATTCTTTTCTTTTCCCTTTCCTTTTCCGTCCCCCCCGTGGGCGTAGCACGATGTGATCCCATTCACCCTTCCCTTGTTTTCTTTCATGTCGGCCCTCTACGTTCTCACTCACCGTCTTCACCTCTTTCTAGCTTACCTCTCAAACCCATCCGAAACTTCCTTTCGCTCTTATCTTACCGAGCAGTCCTTCCGTCATCACCTCTCCCGCCTCGATGATCCCGCAGATTCTGATCCCGCAGACTCGGAGCGCTCGATCACGAACTACCGCTCATCTTCAACTCAATCATCCTCAACCTGTCGTTCACTCGAATCAGGATCCTCCGCTTTTCATTTTTCTAATCGTGCTGCTGTTGCTCTTCGCACCCACCGGCATGCTTTTCATAGCTTTGGTCTTTTCACTATCGCCGCCGTCATCCCTAATCACAAGTCACATCCGTTGTCTCATGATGCCGTCCTCTCAGCGCCGAGTGACAACACAAGCACTGCCGATCCCGATCTTTCTTCTTTTCAAGAGACATGGTTCGTTGGTGCATTCGGTAGGTGGTGGCGAGGCGGCATCGTCGATCCCGCTTGGTCACCTCGTCCCGGTCTTCATGCCAAGTGCGATGAAGAAGGCTGGAGCTCTGGTATATTAAACATTAAGACCCTTGACAGACTTGAGGATTACAACGGTAAAGCTTAATGATGATTGCGATAAGATTCTTTACTCACTTTTTTTTTTTGCTACCCCTCCGTCTCTGTCCAGGCCTTCCATTCCCTTCCACGACTCGCACGCTGCAACGTTCGGCACCTCCAAAGTTGCGCTCTCGCGATCAATCAACGTCGCGACGCAGTTCCACACCACCACCGCTTCCAAAATCTGCTGTTTTGCCTCTCCATACTCCCAACCATAGCCAGTCCTTACCCACTCCTCAACCTCCCCCTCCTGATCGTCCTCCATCTTCCCCACCTCATTATCCTTCTTCGCTGCCACCTGCGACTTCCAAGGGAACTCCAGATTTCGAATCTGTCCCTGCCGTGACGGAGCTCGACTGCCAAATAAATCAAACCCTTGCCCTCAACCGCGAACTGCACAACCAGTTGTCTGACCATACTAGCGTAGCCACCGCAGCAGATGCCGCTCTTAGTGCCGAGTTGAACACCGTCCGTGAAGCGAAGCGTACCGATGACGCGGCCCGCAGCGAGCTCAAAGTGCGCACAAAAACCCTAGAGGAGAGCAGACGAGTGGCTGAGGCCGGCAAACGTGATGCCGAACGTCGCCTTCGTGCTGTCCAGAAAGCCAAAGAAGAAGCCGGCACCCGAATCGAGAGACTCGGCGTGGAGATCCGTGCTCTTGAGGCGCAAGTGCAACAGGATGAAACGGCGGTCCTTGCCGCCGGTGAGGCAGCGGTACAAGAGGAGCTGGACATCCGCTCTCGAGTCAAGCACCGCAGGCGAGAGGTTCGGGTTGCAGAAGAGGTCGTGACGGCGCTCAATATCCGTGTACATGAGCTCGAGGAGTCCATCGAACGGGAGCGCACAGCATTGGTGGCCGCCCGAGAGAAAGCCGAAGAGTTGCGGCGCGAGCAACAAAATCCCAAGTATGACTTCATCCTCAAGAAGTCGCAGGACCCCTGGGAGCCAATCCCTCTCGCCGATACCAAGCAACCGAGCCTTGCGTTAGAATCTAGAATGGATCCGTTCCCAACTCCACTGGAAAAGGATTCGGATCGTGAGCGCGAGCGTAGTTCCAGAACGGCCGTGCCCACCCGCAGCTCGCCGCATCTCTGTGCTCCAAACGCCCAACCTCCCCCCGGTATCGGATATCACGCACCTTCACAGGTACAGTTAGAGCCCATTGGAGCTCCCGAATCGGTCGCCCGCCTTGCGAAGGGATATTCCATTTTTGATGAAGATCTAGCGTCGCTGTCCAATCCCAGTCACTACCATTCCAAGTTTCTGCCGTTCGGCGACTCCTCTGATGTCGCAAACGTAAGGCGTACGTTTCCGTTCATTCCAATCAGTCCCGTTCGGTCTCTTGATAATGGCATGTCTGCAGTCGCTACTGTCGGAGACGTCATCGGAACGCCAGAGGATATGCTGTCCAAAAACTTCCAATCCGACAACAACACCTTTCTCGGTCGCGATTGGCCCCGTCATCCTGCAGTCCCTGAGTCTGTTCCCGTTGT